GGATGATGGTATACTCTGTGTTCTCCTATCCCCCTAACCTTTCCCCCCTCTTCCCTATTCCCCCCTACTTTTTGTATTCCCTACCCTGTCCTTAAATAAATACTTAAATAATAATAATAATAAAAAATTACCACTATGCTATTGATGGCAAGACTCGAGAAACCACTGAGAACCAGAAATTTAGCAAATACTTATCACATCCTTAGTTCTGTTACATACATTAACCCCCAGAAATCACTTTTTCTAGATAGATGTCCATTGAAACTATGGTAACCGTAGTATGCAGCTGATGCCATGTTCTATAATAATTAAGTGAGCAATATAATGTATTTGTCTAGAGCTAACAGGGCTGCGGTATAGACCTCACCTGGCCACTATTTTTAGAGTAGTCATGGAAAGGGAAAAGGAAGAAATTGCCTGCCACGACCTAGTTACCTCAGCAACCATCTCCTGTGACTAAGAAAGCCTAAAGAGCATATTGATAATCTATAATGATGTTGAGAGAGTGCAGGTTATCAGAGAACGACAGCAGGAAAGATTTCAAAGACACTTGGGCCTCACTGGGAAAATAATGTCTGCTTTCATCTCCAGAACGTCTGTCACTTGATTTGTATTTTATCCTCTTTTTTGGTAAAGGAGGGAGGCAGAAGTGTAGACTGAGCACACTCCCTGATTTATTGGCACTCTGTTGGTTTCCATTCAGGAAGAAAAGCCTGTAGCTTTTTGTCTTCAAAGAGATGGCAATACTAATGCACAATGGGGTGGTGGGGCAGAAGAGCCAGACATTCAAACTTTTTGATAGGGTAGCACTGTATTCCCAAACCTGATGATCTCCAAGGTTGTTTGACTACATACTCCCATAATCTGAATGACATATCCTAAAGCCATGAAAATGAACCCCAAACTGTAAGGTGACCAGTGTGGCAGCATTCCATTCTCTAACATTCCCAGTCCATATACTAAGAGAAAACTGATTTCCAAAGCCCAAGTCTCAGGTCTAAAAATTGAGGCTTGTCTCTAACATTCCCAGTCCATATACTAAGACTTAGAAAACTGATCTCCAAAGCCCAAGTCTCAGGTCTAAAAACTGAGACTTAGAGCCTGTCCACATTGGCATATAGTTATGATATATGGATTGTTAATGGCACTGTTTGGGTAAAAAAGAGAGAGAGCATGTCTGCTTGCCTTTCTATTTAGAACGATCCATCCTTCTCCTCTAAGAGCTGTCACACACCCCTCTGACACAGGGCCAGGGCATGCATTCTTTTTTGCATGATTCAGTGAGATTTGATTTGGAGCAGCAACGGCAGCAGTGATCATCTGTGTGTGTGTGTACAAGAACAGCTGACAAGTGGCAAACCCTGGCTGCTAAGCTGTGAGCCACTCTGAGCCTTCCTGCCTCTGCTGATCAACTGGATTGCAGAGAGTGGCCATGCAATCAGCTGTGAAGTGAAGAGGAGCTGCAAAGAGGCAGCAAGCCTCTGACACTGGGGTTGGTTTCCATCAGTTGGCTTGGAAGTGGAGAGTACCCACATGATCAGCTGGGAAGCATTTAATTAAGAAGTGATCGGGCTATGAGAGGCCGCTATTTGGATGGGAGGAATGTGCCAAATAGCAGATTGCTCCTACACTCAACCTCAACAGATCCCTTGTAGCCTGATCCACCCACACCCAGAATACCCAGTCTGGAGAGGCCCTTTGCCACCCTAATTGATGGAGTCACCTAAATTCAGGAAATACTAACACAGTCCTGGGAACATGGTGCCGAACAAAGACAGCACTATCTCTTATTCCACCCAGCACTTTTGCTGCGGATGTGTAGGCCTTGCAATTTGAATGCCACTTTAATGTAGCAAGATTGGTGTCTTCAGTCTACTCTTAAGCTGAAAGATAATAAAATAAAAGGAAGAGGAGGGGGAAAGAGCAATTCTGAAGGTCCATTAGTTAGTTGTAAGCCTGAGCTTCCGCAGAGTGCGCTTACATATTCAAAGAGCACTTTGAGCTCTTGATATATGTCACCGCTGTCCTTTCACATTAGATCTTCTGCAGAATTAAAATGAGTGATTCCCATGGGAGCTCGATCGCTATATTGGGAGGAAAGAATGTTGTTTTTGGTTTGTGCTAATCCAGAAAACGTGGAAGCACTAACAGAATGACACCATCAGACATAGGCTACCCTCACTGTGTGGATCCTTCTTACAAACTGTGATCCATATTTGAAATACTTTATAGACCAGGTCAGTCATGTTTTGAACACTTTTAAACTAACCCCCCCCCCCTAATTACAATGGCTGTAATTATACATTTCTAAAAGTAACTTCTTCTGAAGATTGGACATTCAGGTTGAAAACCTGATGACATTTTCTCATGGCCTGCTCTGGTGTGGTCTCCTCCACCTGGGAGGTGGATATGCATGTGTGCTACTCTTCCTATAACTTCTTAAAGTGTGTTTGAAGTTATCTTCTAATATTTTAAAGGTGTCAAAGCATGCCATTGTGTTATATTTTCAATACAGAATATTCATGATAATATTATCTTTTCCTTAGTGCCCCATTATGTTTGTTGTAGGCAAAATGAAGTTTGTGAGATTGGAGAACCTTGAATGTGTGATACTTTATTCTGTATTTTTAAAACCCTCTCTATATAAAATGTAAAAAAAGAACTTGTTTCAGCCATTCTTGCACTGGCAACCTATTTAGACTTCTGCAGTGCAGTGTTCATGGGACTGCTTTTGAGGACAATACTGATGTTGCTGCAAGTGCAATATGTAACAGTTAGACTACTGTCATGAGCTACGTATATATAGAATCCATGTGGCACTAGTTCGGAAAATATTGTACTTGCTACAAATTCATCACATCTGATTTCAAGTTGTTACAATGACTCTGAAAGCCCTAAATAGCATAGAACCTGGATATCTGAAGGATTATCTCTTCCCATACATGCCTGACTAATACATGCCTGCTTGATCATTAAGACCTACTGGAGAGCCCTCCTCCAAGTCCTACTGCACTTGAAAGCTCACTTCTTTTCAATATTCTGATCAAAGTATTGCCCAGTTTTGTTTTGGATTTTGTATGAGAACCACATGGAGAGGATATTTGCAAACTTAATGCCCTGCTATTGGAATGCGCTCTCATTGGAAGCCCCACAGGCACCAACACTACTTTTTTTTTTTGCACCAAGTTATAACCTGACTGTTAAGCATTTGGCAATTAGAGAGATTATGGCTTGTTCTTTAATGCTTTATTCTATGTAGATCCTGTTCCAATTGTTAAACTGTTTAAAATTGTTTCAGCTATTTAAAAAAATATTTAAGTTGAGTTAGTTTTGTATATGCGAAGGCTTTCACAGCCGGGTTGTTGTTGGTTTTTCGGCCTCTTTGGCCATGTTCTGAAGGTTGTTCTTCCTAACGTTTTGCCAGTCTCTGCGGCCAGCATCTTCAGAGGACAGCACTCTGTCCTCTGAAGTGCTGTCCTCTGAAGATGCCGGCCACAGAGACTGGCGAAACGTTAGGAAAAACAACCTTCAGAACATGGTCAAAGAGCCCGAAAAACCCACAACAACCATGAGTTCGTTTTATTTAATGTGATTTTCTTCCTGCCTGACATATGTCAATGCAGGCTAGGTTAGAAATATATTAGATACTAGAGATGGGGGTGTTTGTATTTGTATACGATTGTCTCCCTACAAGTGCAGATAACAAGGATCTGGCCCCCTAGGGGCAGATCGACCACTCACGATTTTGCCGCTGAGATGGATTAACCACTATGTGACCTGGCAGAGAGGTTCATCATCCTGCCTTCTGCCTGGACTGGCTAATGTATCGCAAACAATGGAGCAATCGGAAGGCTCTGTGGAACTCATGGCAGTGGTGCTCATTGCTCTTCTGTTTCAACCACAGATATATTACTGTTGGGAATGAGTTATATGCATGCATTATTAGGGATGACTGGATCCTGTTCAGACTCTTAAAGGACCCCTAATCTGAAACACACCTCTACATTCCTTTTCAGAGCTTTGTGTGAAGAGCCAGGTGTGTTAGGGTTTACAGGCAAATGTCTGAATAGGACTATGGTCTATTTTGTGATAGAATGTAGCAAATACTAATCTTACCAAATGAGAGAGTAGGTAATAATTTCTCTTTTTTAAACTTTTAATCTTTATTGGATTTAAAAAAGAAATTATAAAAATAAGTAAATAATTATGATATTAGAGAGTAGGTCATAATTTCATTGCACTATTAAAAAGACAAGCAAATTTCTGAGTTCAATAAGACCTTTCATCAGGTTAGATGTTGTAGACCTTGAAGAGTCAAACAATGATCAGACTGAAAAAGTTCACTTCTTTTCAATATTAAACGCAGACTGCCTAGTCTTGTTTTGGGGGTTTGTACAAGGATTGCATTGCTGTATTTACTTCGTCATTTAACCTTACCATGTTTCGAGTTGCTTGAAGAAAGAGTAGAGTGGGACTAGGTTGAGGAACAAGAGTAGTAGCGGCAGATGGGGAACATGATAGTAATGTGGTTTGGTCATTGGAGTGAGTGAAAGTAAGAGTCAAAGAAAGGAAAATGTGGAAAGGTTTGGCAGAGGTGTGAAGAGAAGCCGGCTCTGTGCTATGTGTCTTTTATAATACAACCCCCCCCCCGAAAATGCATTGAAAACATACGATTGATGGTTGGCACAGCCAAGTAGCTCTTTTAGAAATGTCATTAATTAAGCTTGTTCTTTTCTTGGCCCCTCGAGGTTAAAGGAAAATTCCACCTTCCCTCCAAAATGTTCATCAGTTCCCATGCTTCATATGCAAACATGTTTACTCTGTGTTCCTCTTCTTCTATAGATGGAACTCCCAAAATAATTTCTGCCTTCAGTGAGAAGGTAGTAAGCCCAGGAGAAGGTGTCTCCTTGATGTGCAATGTGAAAGGAACTCCTCTTCCTACAATCACATGGACGTTAGATGAAGATCCCATAGTCAAGGATGGCAACCACCGGATCAGCCAGATCATCACCTCTGAAGGCAATGTGGTCAGCTACCTGAACATCTCTAGCACTCAGGTCCGAGACGGTGGGGTCTATCGTTGTACTGCCAACAACTCTGCTGGAGTCGTCCTGTACCAGGCTCGAATAAACGTAAGAGGTGCTTGTCAAATCAGCTCCTCCAACAAACAAACAAACAAACACCTCACTGTAGATAAAGATGATTACATGCTATGAGCCTTGCCATGAAATGCTAAGAAAACATTTAAAATGCTGTTGCTATTTTTCCCTCCCTCCCTCCCTCCCTCTCTCTCCCTCTCTCTCTCTCTCTCTCCCCGATCTCATGCAAAATCCACAAAATCTTTACTCGGGCTGCAATCCTGAACCCGCCTTCCTGGGAAGTAATTGCAAATCATGACTCTTCCAGAGCTTGGAAAAAATGATTTTTTTTAAGACTAGAGTTTCCAAAATCTATATCTGACCTGTGTGACTAAAGGATTGGGCAAGTTGTATTTTAAAAACTAACTTCTCCAAGCTTTGTGTCATTTTGAGTACACATACAAAGGATTGGGCTGTCAGTTTATAGCTTTTAGGTATACTGAGCATACCCCTCTGCAAAAAATGTGTAGTTTGGGTTTTTTAAAAAAAACTTGCATGCATTTTAACCTCCTGGAAAGCCTACATTCATTGCAGGTATCTGTAGATCTTTCTGCATATAGTTGTACTTCTATGTAGCATATTGATCCTCATTGTGGTGTGTAGTGGATACAATGATAGACTAGGAATGAGATGGCCTGGGCTTGAATCCCTGCTTGGCCATGGAAATTCACTGGCATGGGGAGGGATGGCACTGGTAAAACCTTGCTTCAATACCTCACTTACCTGGAAAACTCTATTAGGGTCACTGTAAATCATATTTTATTTGATAGCACATAACACGTGACATAATACAGATCCCTGTGAAATGTACATAAATGTTTTTAAAGACCCTTCTCTCAGTCTTTTTTTAAATACTAAACTGTTGGCTCAGTTTGAGTTCTCCCACCCCACTCAGCCTCCGTATCTGGCATTAATTAAATCTTCACCAGCCTTTAATTTGTAATTCAGCACAGATTTTTATCACACAAGTGTTCCAGTGATGCAGGCACATAGCAGAACGGTTAATTAGTGTGCCTGCTGTAGGGCTAGAGAAACTAAAAAGCGCAAAGTGATTAAAAGACCCATAAGTGGCTCTTTGAAGTTTTTTTTTATAATTGTCACAGACAGGGATTTAAATATCTGTAAGAATTGTATATTTAGAGGAAATTAATATTTCCTCTACTAAATATATCCATGAATTATTTTCAAGAGTTCCCCTTTCCTTTTCCAGGTCCAGCGAGCATTCGATCAATGAAAAATATCACAGCAATAGCGGGCCGGGATACTTTCATTCATTGTCGTGTCATTGGATATCCATACTATTCCATCAAGTGGTACAAGAATTCCAATCTGCTCCCTTTTAACCATCGTCAAGTGGCATTTGAAAACAATGGCACACTGAAACTCTCGGATGTGCAGAAAGAGGTGGATGAGGGAGAATATACATGCAATGTCCTGGTTCAGCCACAACTCTCCACTAGCCAGAGTGTTCACGTGACTGTAAAAGGTAAAGCACATGGGAAAATCAGAAAGGATGGGTGAGAATCTTGTTTTAGATCAGAATTTCATTTTGGATCAGAATTTACCAAAATTTGTAAATAAAAATAAAAATAAAAATGGGAGAAACAATTGACCATTATGTCCATCTGTAAAAACCAGGACCAGCCCTGTCACTACACAGAATAAAGTAGCGGCTGCAGGCAGCAGATTCTGGGTGTTAGTTAAGTGAGGAGAAGATTATTAGTTTATTATTTATTATCACATAAGAAGAGCCCTGCTGGATAAGGCCAAGGGCCCATGGAGTCCAACTCCCTGTATCTCACAGTGGCCCCACAAGATGCCTCTGGGAGCACATGAGGCAACTATATACCTGTCTCCTGCTACCCCTCCCCTTTTAAGCCTGGAATACATCCCCATCATGGCATATGTTTATTCTCTGAAATAGGGAGAAGTGCTGAGTTGAGTTTCTGTCTCATTGCCCCAAAATGGTTCTGCCTGGAGAACAGTTTTTTTGGGGGGGAATGGTGTTGTTGGCAGAAAGTACTGGTGTTTCTCTCTCATGTAGCACTGAAAAATCTCACACTGGCTGCCTATTTCATTTTCACCCATTTGTTGAATGTGGAAGAAGTCTGTGAATGTTCTTTACTAGTATCTTAATATTAAAGTGTTGACAGTTGACAAAACTGAAGATAAGAAAAACAACAAATATATATATATATTGTACCATTGTACGCTTCAACATATTAGCTGAAATCTGGCAATGTAAGTTGCACCATATAAGCCTGATACATCACTGCTGCATATATTTTTTTTAAATTAAATTTTCCGATCTCTACTTCTGAAGGTCTCAGTGATCCCTATCATCATGGAGAAGCTGTTGGGGGATATGTGTGGGTGATCATGGAGCAAAGGAAGGCTAATTGCCTTAGAGAGAGAACAAAGGAGTCGACAGCGGATGTCCAAGCCAGCGGAGCCAACTGGCAATGCCCTGAGAACTCTTTTATTTACTTAGCATGATTACATAGTATGTTATAAGAGAAACAGATAGGATACTAGTTACCTAATCATAACTAGGATTGGCTAAAATAACCCTTTGATCTTATGCTCTACCTCCAAGTGAAAGGGCAGAAGAAAGGGCTGCCGCTTCCTGCCAGGAGTGTATGCACGTCCCTGGAACACAATGCAGCTACAACATTTAAGCAGAAGTTTCCCACAGGCATGAGACTTTTTTAAAATTAAAAACTCACCCCTCCAATCCTGCCACCCCAAATGGCTTCCCCATAATGAAAGGGATCCCAAAGAACCATTGAGACCTTTTGGAAGCTGTGTGTGTAATCAGAAATTTTTAGTTAAAAAAACTGTCATGGTGTAAGTTTCACTACTGGATTTCAGCCATTTTATAATAAATATCTTCCTGTTGAAATAATTACTTCTGATAAAATGCAACCTCACAGTGGCTTTCCCCCTCGCAAGAAGCAGGGACCTATTTTATTGGTCCGCCCTCCCAGGCTACGGGATCCTATAGGATTCCAGTATTCCATACGAGGGATACCAATTGATCTGGCTGGCACTCCTGTCAAGGCTCTGGTTGACGGCTGGTCTGCTGCCACCACCAGTGATTGCTTCTAAACATCCTCTCCATTACAGAGCTCATCCAGTGCTCTAGTTTAACCTGCAGCTGAGAGCTATGAAGCAGAACCAGGAGAAGACTGGAGAGCATTTGGAGGTGGAACCAGACAGAAAATAACTTGAAAGCTATTAGGATCATGTCTAACCTTTACCTTTCTAAGATAAAGGCTGCAAAGAAAGCTTACTTCACTGTTTGGATAAGCAACGCTTCGAACCAGCAAGTGAAATTATTCCGAATAGTATGCTATCTATCCGGAATTGGTCATAATGATTGGCCTCCCCCTAGTATCTCACCTGACCAATTTGCAGCATTTTTCAAAGCTAAAGTGGAGGTCACCTGCTGGGACCTATCCTCCTATTTGAAACCAGTAGATCGAGCCAAATCATCCAGTGTACCATTTTGCCTGGTGAGAATTACTCACTTGCAGCCGGTGACATCACTTGAGGTTGACAAGACACTTGATTGCTGTCATGCCACCATCTCCTCCCTTGACCCTTGCCTGGTCTGGCTGATCAAAGCAGCCAGGCCTGTGACAACCAAATGGGCCACGGCAATAATTAAAAGATCTCTCCAGGAGGGCAGGGTTCCCCTTGCCCTCAAGGAGACACTCATTAGGCCCATTAGGAAAAAACCGAGCTTGGTGGTGGACAATATTGCCAATGTTTCTTTCCTTAGCAAGGTTGTAGAGAGGGTGCTGACAGATCAGCTTCAGGTTCTCTTGGATGAAACCAGTGCCCTAGATCCATTCCAGTTGGGCTTCAGGCCACATCACAGTATGGAAATGGCATTGGTCGCCCTGCTTGATTACTTATTGAGGGAAGCCAATGGGGCAAAATGTCCTTGTTGGTTCTCCTTGATATCTCAGCTGCCTTTGATGCCATTGACCACGTTATCCTCCTGGGATGGCTTTCCGAGTTGGGGATGAGTGGCCTGGCTCTTGCTTGGCTCCAGTCCTTCTTTGAGGACCGTTCCCAGAGAGTTCAGTTGGGGAGAGAGAATATCAGCCCCATGGCTCCTCAATTGTGGGGTGCTGCAGGGCTCGATCATCTCTCCAATGCTGTTTAATATCTATATGAAGCCACTGGGTGGGGTCATCCGGGGGTATGGGGCATCAGTATACTGATGACACACAGTTCTACATCTCCTTTTTCCCCAACAGCAGTGGATGCTGTTGCGTCCCTTGAGTGCTTCCTGGGGGGCTGTACTGCAAAGGATGCAGGAGAATGGACTGAGGCTGAACCTGGACAAAACAGAGGTTTTGAGGGTGGGCACCCCTCCTATCAATGGTTTGGGAAGCTCCCTCTCATTTGGGGGGTGGTGACTCTCACCACAAAGAGTGTGGTCCACAGCTTGGGGGTCCATCTTGACCCAGCACTTACCATGGAGTCCCAGGTAGCGTCTGTGGTCCGCACCGCCTACCTACATCTTCGGTGGATTGCCCAACTGTGCTCCCATCTTGATGCTGGGGCGCTCACCACTCTGATCCATGCGCTCATAATCTTGAGATTCGACTACTGTAATGTGCTCTATGTGGGGCTGCCCTTGAGACTGATGTGGAAACTACAAGTGGTCCAGAATATGGCCAGCAGATTATTAATTGGGGTGAGAAAATGCCATCACATTTCCCCCACTCTGGCGGCCTTACACTGGTTGCCCATTTGATTCTGCATTGACTTTAAGGTGTTAATGCTTTCATATAAAGCCCTAAATGATTTAGGACCTCAATACCTGACACAGTACCTGCTCCCCCCTAGCTCTACTCGTGTCACTTGATCTAGCCAGGCTGGGCAGCTGAAGGGCTAGACACTGAGAGAGGCCTGGAAGAAGAGAACTAAAAACTGGGCCTTCTCGGTGGTGGCCCCTCGCCTCTGGAACACCTTGCCCCTGGAGATTCGCCTGGCACCCTCGCTGGGAGTTTTTAAGAACAAGCTGAAGACTTGGTTCTTCAGGCAGTCCTTCCCCCTTTCCATTTCTTAATTTCCTAACATCTTAGTCTTTGTTTATCTCTATGTTGTCTGATATTGTTTGTTTTAAATTTTGTTTTAGATTTGGAATGTAAACCGCCCAGAGTAGATTAATTGAATCTAGATTGGTGGGGTAAAAGCTGAAAAATAAATAAAAATAAATACATTTTCAAAGTTCTTAGCACCTACACAACTCTTACCCTAACAGTATTTTCTATTTCTTTTTTGTTTTAGTGCCACCCTTTATCCAGCCCTTTGAGTTCCCAAGGTTCTCTATTGGACAGCGAGTGTTCATTCCATGTGTTGTGGTCTCAGGGGATTTGCCAATCACCATCACCTGGCAGAAGGATGGCAGACCAATCCCAGCCAGTCTTGGGGTGACCATTGACAACATTGATTTCACCAGCTCCTTAAGGATTTCTAATCTTTCCCTCATGCACAATGGGAATTATACCTGCATAGCTCGAAATGATGCAGCTGCTGTAGAGCACCAAAGCCAATTAATTGTGAGAGGTAAGGAGATGTAATTAATCTGTTTGGTGGCAAGTAGGTGAAAGTCAACAGTATCTTTAAATGACAATTGTTAGAGGACAAGGCATGAGGTACTGGAATATCAGATAATCTTTTCTGTATACTATAATAGCAAGATTTTTTTAAAAATCACAAGGCTGATTCTTTTTAAGTGAACCAAATCAAAGATGAAGAAATATTTTCATAACATTGTGTAGCAGCCAATATGACATCCCATTTCAAGTAGGAAAAGAATAAGAAGAAAATGAGACCCTGAATACTAATGTACCCTTCTTGGTTAATATAATATTATAAACAGACACTCAATTCTTTCTGATGCGTCAGATGAATATGGGTTTTACATTTTCAAAGTTCAGAGAATATCCATACCACGATATATTAGTCCTGCTTTTGCTTCAACCTTTCCATCTTAGTTAAGCCCCAAAGTCATTAGTCATCATATTGATCTTTAAGGACTCTATGAGTTTAGCTGTTTCAAATATGAGCCACACTGTAATTCTGTTGAGACAACGGTCTCATTATTCACTGGGGTTTATTTTAAAACATCATCTACAAAGAAATACCTGGTCCCACACTCTTTTAAGTCTGACATTTTTATTTAGTATCTGAAGAGACCGACCTAATGCTGGAGAAGGAGGGCTCTCACCTTCATAACTGCCATTCATGTCTTCTGAACTTCAACAATGCAGTAAATGTCAATTGCCTTTTACAAAGATGTTATTATGCAGTCATCGAAGCAATAGTGGAGGATTGCTTTCAATATGGCAACAGCTTGCCACCACAGCACAAGGTCCGTTTCAGTTGTTAGGCCAACCAAATTGGTTTTTTTCCTCCCTTTGCCTATTGCAATGGAGGTTGAAGCAGCCTCAACATATTGGCAACCTTTTCACATGTTTTGGTGCACCAATATGGGCCTCACTGTGTACTCCATACTTAGAATTACTCATTATATTTCGGTCCTGCCTTTTCTGCACTGAGTTCAAGATACAGTGGACCCTCAACTTACAGACGGCTCGACTTACAGACTTTTCGAGTTACAGACTTCTCTGGCCACAAAATTTAGGTTTGACTTACAGCCAGAGAATCAACCTACAGACCAGAAAAAAACCAAAATGGAACCAAAATGGAACAAAAATGGCCAGTTATGGCATTAATTGGTTTTCAATGCATTGTAGGTCAATGGAGACTCGACCTACAGCCTTTTCGACTTGCAGCCACTGTTCCAATATGGATTAATTCCGTAAGTAGAGGGTCCACTGTATCCACATGGCTCTCCTCCCCCCCCATTGTATCTTTACAACAACCCTTTGAGGTAAGTCAGACTGAAAGAAAGCAGTCACTCAAGGCCACCTGGTGAGTGGCATGGCTTGACTATGGATCTCTCACTGACTCCTCTCCTGCTGTATAAGAGGGCAATTGGTATGTCAGGTGTAGATCTGTTTTGTGAAATTGCCTTCACATGAAGACAGATGTGTTCCATAAGGTGCCACAATTCTTAAATTCAAGCTATATAACTTCCAGAATTACTTGTTTCTGATGCCATATGCATAGCAACATGTTTGGATAATTGCAAAATCTTTCTCCAGGAAGTTCAGGACAACATAATTTGGGTCATCCAATTTTAGATTTCCACAAATGTGAGGTTATTAAGAGGTAGGAGTTGACCAAAGAGAACTTGCCAGACTTCATAGATAAGAAGGGTTTTCAGCTGAAGGCAAAATCAGATGTTATAGAGAACCTGCTATGGTTTGAGAGTAAAGCATGTTAGTGTTGGAGAGACATGACTGAGGCAGTCTTTCCTCTTCAGGATACAGTACTGAACTTCAAAGATATCCCATGATGATGTAGAATTCTAGACCAAAGTAGACTTTTGTCTTGAAGGGTGGGATATAAATCCAATAATAAATAAAATAAAATAAATGATGTTTCAAAGATCAACCACAATGCAAACAAGCTAATTTGCATTTTGTGGGGGACAAGAAAAGTGCCTGCTGCTCACTATAATCGTTAATACAGTGATGTTAATACAGTGGACCCTTGACTTACAGACGGCTCGACTTACAGACTTTTCGAGTTACAGACTTCTCTGGCTGCAAAATTTAGGTTCGACTTACAGCCAGAGAATCGACCTACAAACCAGAAAAAAAAACACGAAATGGAACAAAAATAGAACAAAATCGGCCGGTTACAGATTAATTGGTTTTCAATGCATTGTAGGTCAATGGAGCCTCGACCTACAGACTTTTCGACCTGCAGCCACTGTTCCAGTATGGATTAATTCCATAAGTAGAGGGTCCACTGTAGACCATAAGTGGTCTACAACATCTCCTTCTGCATCCCTAGTCCATTCAATATCCTGATTCATTGTGGCTCCCATCAAAATTATTACAAAATTTGCACCCACTCTGCTGTTAAAGCAGACTGTATAGTTGTGGCTTCTGGAAATGCTGATCACTGTGATTCTGTTTTCTTATCTTATCTTTTTGTTATTTTCATTTCAGTTCCCCCCAGATTTGTAGTTCAGCCAAGTGACCAGGATGGGATTTATGGAAAAGCTGTGATCCTCAATTGTTCTGCAGAAGGCTATCCTGTCCCTACAATTGTCTGGAAGTACTCCAAAGGTATTTTCACCCACCCCTTTAATAATAATTTTATGTAACATAGGACAGTGTGTGTTAAAAGCCCTTTACTTCATTGATTTAACAAACTTGGTTCCTCCTTCTTTCTCTGACATGAGTGGACATTTGCCACTACTTCAAGTGCAATTAAGTTTTGTCATTACAGACTTGTAATTAGAAGCTTCTAATAAGTTTGACTAATATTCATTGTGAATGTTTGAGGAACAGCAACCAGTGGTGGCTTGAGCCAAGGGGAGAATCAAGACCAGAAGGGGGTATTCATAGATGTCTACTCACAGACAGGCAGGCAGCAAGGATACAAGCAAGTATTCGTACATACACATATCGAGGCAGGCAGACAGGTGTTCCTTCTAGCACTCCCAGAAAACCCCACCTTGCACTGAAGGGACAATTCTTCCTAACTCTTCCTGCTTTCCTCCTGATCCCTCATTAAGCAGGCAGGCAGTTGTGGGCTAACTAGAGCTGCAGTGTGTTATCCCTAAGAGACTGGCCTCTACTACTGAATGGCTTCCCAGAAAGGTGCTGGCTCAATAGAAGTATTGTGATCTTTTCCTTGAACAAGAAGCTGTTCTGCTGCATCACAAACCAGTTTTGAAACTATCTTCCATCTCATAAGCAAATTATTACTTGGTGGATTGGTGGCACCTATTGGGGGGGGGATTTCTACACCAGAGGCAGGCAAAGTATGGCCCTTATCTCCCCTTCCCAGAGCTGTTTTTGCAAACTCTGCACCATCAGACACCTCCCTGCCCCCAAAATAATCCCTGCTTTCCCTCAGCCAAAAT